CGCCACCCCCCCCGCTGCTCTGCCCCAGGCGTCCCCAAGAGCAGCTGGGGTGCTGCCGGGTTGGTCCCGCAGCCCCGAGGGGCAGCGCTACCAGACCAACCCATCAGCACCCTAGCTGTTCTGCTCCCGGCTTCCCCGATTCAGCTGCTGGTCAATTTCAGCAGCAGCTGAATGGGGGAAGCCTGTCTGGCTGCCCCAGCACTTCCGGGTTCTGGATGGTGCCGGACCATCAGGAGTCCTGGAGCATTGGATGCCGGACTAATGGAGTTTTACTGTATTAGGTAAATTATTAAACTTCTGGGGCCACTGATGACTGCTTATTGGGACATTATCTTTCATTAAAAAAATTAGATTATTTACTGCAGGGGTGAGGGACCTGTAGCTCATGGGTTGGAATCTTCTCTCTACTTTGTTTTATCCGGCCTGCGGCACGCCTCTGCACCATGGGCTGGAAGCTCTGAGCCTCAGCACTCCTACCAGGACTGGTGCAGGGGCAATCAGAAAGGCTCTGGGTGCTGTCCCTGCCCCCAGCACCAACTCCACAGCTTCCATGGGCTGGGATTTAAGGCCAATGGAAATTGCAGGGCTGGTGCCTGCAGGAATGGGCAGTGCAAACAGCACAGAGCCACCTGCCTCTCTCTCTAGGGTTACCAGGTAGGTTTAGAAAAAATACCGGACACACTTGATGGGGGGGACTGGCTGGCCGGGTGGAGGGGGCAAGGGCAGCGCAGCTGTCTGGGGCATGGGGGAGGGGTCGGGAGCAGCGGGGCTGGCCCAGAGAGATCAGGAGGAGAAGAACCGGCCCGCAGAAAGCAGGGGTGGTCGGGAGAGGGTCGGGGGCAGCAGAGCTGGTTGGGAAGGGTCAGAGGAAGCAGGGGGTGGGGCAGGACTGACCCGGGCACATGCAGATCCTGGGGCTCTGACAGTCCCGTGCACAGTCCGGAGAAGTGTGAGTAAGTCCAGCTGCGGCTCCACCACGCGCTCAGGGACACGGCTTCTCCTCCTCCCCAAGGCATCAGACACAGCCAGGGCTCCCAGGGCCGGTTCTGCCCCGCCTCCCAACCACTCCCCAGCCCCCGCCAGGCTTCCATCTGGTGACCAGCTGGAAAACCAGGAAATACTGGACATTGCACATGTCCAGTATTTTCTGGATTTTTTTACTGGACAGAGGCCCCAAAAACCGGACTGTCCAGTAGCATACCGGACACCTGGCAACCCTATCTCTCTCTAGGGGCCAGATATGGCGGTTGCTTCTGGGAACAATGCAGACCCAGGGCAGAGCAGAAGTAGGGTTGGCAGGTGTCCAGTATTCACCCGGACAGTCCAGTATTTTCTGCTCCTGTCCGGTAAAAAAATTCAGAGAATACCGGACACCTAAAATGTCCGGTATTTTCTGAATTTTTCCCCAGCCAGGAGGTGAAAATGCCGGGCATCTGGCAACCCTACAAACACTGAGCGCCTGGCCTCCCCTTCCCCGCCCCAAGTTCTCCCCGAGCCCCCACACACCCAGCCCCCATGCTTACCTGGTTCCCCAACGC